CCCTCTCCCTCTCTCTCTCTCTCTCTCTGTGTGTGTTTGTGTGTGTTTGTAATAAATATGTTTCCCACTTTTTAGTTTTTTAGTAGGTCTAGTATGCTGAAAGAAATGTGCTGGGTTTAAAATTAAAATATATTTTTCTGCAACTTGAGATGTGATCTCTCTGCTTTCTTTGGGGCATGTTCCTTATTGGAAAGCCCTATCCTTTACAAGTTTTCAATTGGCACTAACTTACATATGCTTTATTTAGGTTAAAATGCTACTTTAAAAATAGTTGCTATATTTTATGTTTGTTTATAAAAGACCATGTATATGTTATTGCTTAATGTTTTGTTCTCTGCAAGCTACTTAGGAATGGCAGGACTTACATGCATTTGAATAACTAAAAAGAAGTCCAAATACTTGAGAATAAAGGAGGAACTTGCTTCCTTTTCTACAGAGAGAACCATTATTTCACTTTTTAAAACTCATACAATTATGAATTTTCTTTTTTGATTGTGTTTATCCAGAAAAGCATCTATATTCATCATCACAGTATGTTCATTCAGGGAATGTACCACCTCCAGGGCAACCTGGACATTTTGATAGTCCCACCTCTTGTGTTAGAATGTGGATAATAATAAACTCCTGTAACCTGACAAGGTGGGTGGGATGAGGGAGAGCAATTTCAAAACATTAAGAAAGATTTGGACCTGTTTACTCAAAAGTCTGCCTTTTCCCGTACCGGCTTGCTCAGGTTTTAAGACTGTTGGGGGTTCTCTTGGGATTGCTGCCATTTTTAATCTGGATTGTATTGTTAGCTTTTTTGAGTACTTTTTGATGTTAAGGTGGAATATAAAGCAGATAAATACATACGTTTTATCATAGAAACAGAGCGACTCAGAAGGGACTTCTCAGGCCATCTAGTCTGACCCCCGGCTCCAGCTGGCTCTGCTCATGTCATGCCTACCATGTGCATGTCTAGCCTATCCTTGAACACCCTCGCCAATAGGGCTTCAATCACTTCCCGTGGAAGCCTGTTCCATACACTTGGGGTCCCAACTGTCAGGAAGTACTTCCTGGCATCCAGATTGAACCTTGGTTCCTTGAGCTTGGCTCTGTTGGCATGTATCCTGCCTTCCTCTGCAGGGGAGAACAGGTCTCTCCCTATCTCTTTGTGACATCTCCTCACGTACCTCATAGGTTGAATAGGGCTATTGTACCCATCTTCATTTAAAATATCCATGCCTAAACCACTCTCCCCAGCAGACTTTGTGGTCTCTCTCTCTCTCATTCCACCCCTCTGCCACCCTTCTAAGTGGTTACTTTTGTGTTGGATCTCTACAGAGACAATCAGTAGGGTGCGGGAAGCATGGAGAAATCCAAACAGAGAAAGAATTCAGCCCATAAATGCTGCATTTCAAACCTTCCCCATACCACACTTCTTACAATTTTTTTTGGCGACTCGATTTAACAAGGTGGAAATACCTCATATAAACTTTTCCCACAGTTTCTCTTAGGAAAGTCACTTCTGTGAAACAAGACTCACCTGCAAAACTGAAATATTTTCCTATTTGTCAGAACCTGGGCCTTTAAAGAAATTGCTATGATGTCCTTCATAGGGTTTATTTCAAGAAATGCCTCTCCATGAGAAACTGAAGTTTAATCTGTAGTAAAAGTGATTGTTGTGATGAAAAATGAAGATAAGAGCTGCCCTTAGCATGCAGAACCAAACTGCTGGCATCCTGTGATGCAAATTTTGGTAGGCACAGTCTGTATTATCTGTGGACCTGCAGAATTTTTGGTAGGCTCTGACCCACTGAATTCATATCTGTACCTCAACTTCTTGGCAGTCTTCCCAGAAATCTTTGTCTTATGATGGTATCTTGAATCAGCCAGGGTCTTAAAATGGGGAATCATCTGTTTGCCAAGAAGATAATCAGATTAATTGAAAGCAAATTTTATTAAAAGAAAGCTAGTAGAAATAGATCGATGGAAAAGATAGACATTGTCAGATAAGACTAATGAGTAAAGACAGAAGTTGTGAAAATAAAGGCTTAAGAATTATTGCGTTATACAACTAACTTCACTTCAGACAAGCGGTGCCCAGGAATTTTGACCATTACCTCAAGAGCCCTTGGAACTATGTCACCCCTGCCTTGTACTGTTCACTACCAAAAGCTGAGCCAATAAAGCTGTATGCTTGCCCGGTGAATGTATTTGACATGGGATCCCTTGTTGGGTTTCTTCAGGCAAATTCAGACAGCCACATTGGTGGCCGTGTGGAGAAATGGGACATTTTTAGTAACAGGACAAATGTGTGGAAGCAGACTCTGCATCCAAGGAAATTTGGTTCTGGGGTTTTGAGCATGTTGTTAGTCTGGGACAAATATCTCAACCGTCCGCTGAATGGGACCAGGATGTTTTTTCTTGGTCTTATGTGAGAAGATGTGGTGGTGGTGCTCATGTTGAGAATACGAAGTTGGATAGGATGAGCGCCCTGGTAGATCTAATTGCATTGACCATAGAGATAAGATATACCCTGTTTCTTGGCTTTGAGCTCTACCAGTTTTGAGGTTCATCCTTTGATGTCTCAGACAAACTGGAACCCAGTCCAAGATTTGATCAACACTAGACCCAGGTATATTGGAGATGTGCCATCTTTTGGGATGTTCACACCATTGTGTGTTGTCCAGTGTCCAACCAATGCACACTTTAAACAAGCAGTGGTTGCCCCAGATGCAGAGAATCCCAACCTCTTGTTTTTATGTTTATTATACCTACTATAAACTTCTCAGAACATTTTCAATTATGAGTAGGCATATAAATTCAAAAGGCATTTGGAAGTACATGTGGAGGCCATCTGGTCATAGGTGGCTATACCAGCTTCCCCCAGCTTGGTGCTCTCTATCTGTATCGGACTGTTGGGAATTATGGGCGCAACAGTCCAACACATCTGGAAGGCATCAGGCCAGTCCGCACCAACTTTAATCTTATTACTAATGAATGATCTCAGGCTTGGCTTTGTTGTCTGAGGTTGCTACATTTTATGCATTGAGAAAAGGAAAATCACTGTCATTCCTTTGGTACATAAGTAACAAGTGTCAAATGAGAACCAAAAATGCTGTTTTTCATGATCTGGATTTGCGGGTGTACATTTCTCTTTCCTATTCATTTCAGCCAGCCAGAGAGAGACACGTTTTTGTTAGCTAGCTGGTTTCCTGCTGGTGGCACATGGACGACAGTCCACACAATTGAAATACCTTTGTTAGGTCAAAAGATAACAAAAACCTGTGCAAGTTTTTGATTTTAGAGTTTGATTTTTTTTTCACCAGGTGAGATTTTGATGGTAAAATCACATTGTCTGCATGTTCAGAATCCCAAGATGAAATGAGGGAGGAATGATCTGCAGATGTTCTTAGTAGGGCTTGCAGGTCATGCAGGTTTAGAACCTGAAGCTGCTCCTGGGTGAGCTAGGTAGGCAGAAATGCTGATTTCTCCATGTTTGTAAATAAAAGAAGTGGCCTTTCTCAAAAGTCTTTTCCAGCTTGGGTGAAATACAGAGATCAACACAGCTTCCACTTACTACCGATGAGGAACTGAGGAGTTCCTATACTCCACATGGGGCACTCTTACATATGCCAGCTTCACAAGTATACGATATTTTTGAATTATAACAAAGTTACATTTAGTGCAATACCTTGTTGGCTTGTGTGACATATGCTGCCTTTTCAGGCATGTTTCACTCAATGGCACTAATTAGTAATCATTTATAACATTGTTCTATATTATGAAGTACTGTTAGAGAATTTTGTGGTTGGAATATCAGTGACCCCACTGATAGACTAGTAAGTTCTGAGCAAACGATAATTATGAAACCTTTTTGTTGGGCGATAAAGAAGCTGCCAACTGGGAAAAAAAATTAAAATCATGTTTGTAAAAGTTTTTTTGTTTTTCTGCAAAAAGGATACTGTTTACTATTTACATTACTATTTGTTGTGCTGAAAGGTGAACTAAATGCCTTATATACCATGAAAATAAAAAAAAGTAATTTTAACTCTCTCTGCTCATGCCTTTCCAGCCTAGCAAAGGTGACTCAACATGCTGGTTTGATGTATACCTATGCAGATAGGCATAGGTGTGTGTGTGGGGGGGGGGAGGTATTTATTTTTAGTAACATTTATGACAAAGATGTGGATTTTTTTCTTTTTCATATTGTTTTAAATAGGAAAGAGTTCTTGAAATATTTGTTTAAAATATTCAGATGAAAAGATAATTCCTTTACCCCAGTTTGCATATTAAAATAAGCCTCGTGGCATGTTAAATGGTATCTAGTTTAGACTGTGGGCTCAGATCATGTCTTGATAAAGATGCTTTTCTCATTTGAACCTGGTTGTACTTGCTACTCTCATCTGCCTGTGCGAAGTATGCAAAGTACATCTGTAACTCACCTGGTCAGCCTGGGCTGTTGCAGGGTTATCTGTGGGCTATTTTCCCCACAAGCAAGCCATGCTATCCTTGTTCTGATGACACAAGCATTGTGCCCAGTTAGATAATTAGAAAATGGTACCTGGACTGCACCAGAGGTTAAAACAAGCTGCTATAGCTTATTTAAGCCATGATGTCTGGTTTGTTCATGTGACCTAGCCCTGTCTATGTTTGAAAAATATATACTCACCTCCAACATGTGTACAATATTTCAACTGTATGCTCTTGGCTTTACTTTTCTTCAACTGCATGTATTTACATTTTTATTCCCGTCGCATGTAATAACAAGCGTCTTCATTAATTACATTGGTTTGTTCAACTGTACCACATGAAGTTGCAGTTCCAAAGCAAATTGGAAGTGTCCAGTTTGCAGTCATGTGTACCAGAGGTCCCTCAGCTTTTTCTTTCTATGGTATGGATTTATAGGGGGGAAATGTTGCACGATTATTTTGAGATTGTAATACTGCTGTTCTCTCTCTCTCTCTCTCTCTCTCTCTCTCTCTCTCTCTCTCTCTCTCTCTGTAAAATGTTCACAGCTAACTATGGACCAAATCCAATATGCAAAGGTTGTTTGTCTTGCTCTAAGGACAATGGATGCATCAGATGTCAGCATAAATTGTTCTTCTTCCTACGAAGAGAAGGAATGAGGCAATTTGGGGAATGCTTGAATTCTTGCCCGTCGGGGTACTATGGTCTCCGAGCCCCAGACATGAACAGATGTTCAAGTGAGTTTTCTCTACTTTGTGTCTTTAAGTCTGTAATTCACTCACCAGTGACTTAGTTTTGAAAATGATAGTCTAAGCATAACAAGGCATTTTGAAGACAATTCCATTATAAGCAATCTTTCTTAAAAGAATGTGTAACTAGCTCCTACATAATTTGTAAATTTATATCCTTGTGGATCTTCCTTGCCTTTCTTCCCTTAGGTGGAATAATTCTCTGAAACAAATGTCTCTCATGGGTTCCATATCAGAATAAATATTTATTATAAGTGCTTCTATATTTATGGGTTTTGAATGTGTTCTTGCTATTCCCCAGGACAGAACCAAACACACCTGTTATCCTTTCTGTTCGAATGGACATAATGCATTTAGGGTGCTATCCAATGTGGTCGCCCATAACCTTCTGAACTTGGAAGATTATGGACATCCAACCAAAGCTGGGAGGAGCACGGAGGCAAGGATTGCTGTCACACTTCTCATGGCCTGGAAAAAACAGGGGGCTGCTGTTGGTTGTGCTGCCTTTTGTCCCTGCTTGCACATCTGCTAGAATGTGTAATATCCCAAAGGAGCCTCACTACTACCCTCTCTGCTTCTCTGGGATGCTTCCTTTTGCCAGTTTTGAAGTCAGATTTGTGACTTTGAAGTCATAGCCAAGAACTGTCCCACCTGTAAGACAGGGGAGGCTGTTCCATCACTGGGGTCCCAAGAGAGTAACCTGGTACATGTTTAGTCAGAGCGAAGGCCTCCAACTCCTGGAAAGTCTCATCCATCTGTGCTGCCTGCTGCATAGTAGCTCCTTTTTCCTAGCTAAACATGCATTGGATTGACTGGGGCTGATGGAGCTGAAATCCCAAACATATGGTGGATACCTATATGAGGAAAGCTGGCTTCAGCACTGTGGATGCACATAGTCCATTGATTTCTGTAAAGGCCTGTATTATTATTTGCTGGGTACTCATGATTTGTGTTGCTCTATTATTTCTTTTGGTTCTTGTTCTGTGTACGTGCTCATTCCTGAAGTGTCATTTTGCCATGAAGAATGAAATTCTATTTCTGGAGCTTTTTGCTTAAGCTTGGCCAAGCAATAACATGCTTTTTTGTTGCTTTCCAAGATTGTTTTGCTGTTTTACACAATCACTCAGGCACTTCAATGTGACTTGAACTTGTGTAACTTCATTCATGCCTGCTAATTTAGGAATTTGCAGCACAGTACTTTGTATATTTACTTGAAAATAAAGCTCACCATGTCCAATGGGGTTTATTCTTTTTGTAAGTGTGCGTGTGCATGTGTTTTATTGCAATCTAGGTTCACTGCTTTCTGTATTTTAATGTAAAGCTTTTGCTTGGGCTGAAGCTAGTTCACATGCACTACCAGATAGAGTGAAAATTAACATCTCATGAAAAACATTGAAATTCTTAATCTTGCCAAGCTTTTCTTTTAAAAACACAAAGTATTCAAGCTCTGATGTAAGAGCTCCTTTTAGGCTTCATAGTTCTTTGACTTACAAACATTTTACCCACATCTTTTTGATTAAATAATCAGTAACCTTTTCCTTGATATAAGTATCTGCTCAAAATGCAGCACTATGATTCTGAAATTTCACACATATGCAACAATATGTTTTGTGAAGTCATTTTTAAGATTCCACAAACATTCATCCAGGGACCTGGAACTGTTTATTACAAAATACAGATTTTGCCTTTTTGGAGATGGGGAGCTTCTTCTTAGAGACTGAAGAGTCTCAGAGTGAGACCAATATAACTATTTTCTTCTATAGGATAATTTCCAAGAATCAATAAGAATTTAGGGAGGTTAATACCTCAAGATATGAAGGGTTTGAACATCATTGTAAACTTTTTCCCCAATGCTTGGTCTTACTTTCTAGCCCTGTTTTTTAAAATGTTATAATTTACTTGAGTGTTTGGAAATAATGCATCCAGTAAAGATTTGAAGCTGTTATTGGGCTGGACATTTTATGGTCCACCACCTCTCCAAATGATCGCTTTGCCATCCTTTGTCTCAGCAGTGGATGGCCTTGAAGTACAGGAAATAACAGGACACCAGCTTCACCTTCTGGAAAGCTTTGTGGTGGTACAAAGATGGAAGGCACTATGGTTCCACCACCAGACCTCTCAGTTCATGATTCCTGTTGTAATCCTGGGCTTCCATGATTCCAATAATCCATGATTCCTGGGCTTCATCCCAGCCTTTTCAGCCCATGTATATTATGTTTGCAAAATGCTTCTGACAATAAATTCACCCCAGTGTTAGTCTCAGTTCAGGGAGGACCCATAGCATAGTAATAGATTGCATAGGCAAGACCTGCAACATAATGTTGCAGTCCTCACCTCCAAACAGAAGTGCTTCTCTTCAGGGTTCCAACCCTGTCCTCTCCTCCACCATACTCTAAACTGCAAGAAACCCAAACTCCTCTCCTCTGTTTTCCAGTTTTCATTTCCAGTAGTCATTCTGTCTTCTGTGCAAGATTGCATCCCGGTAGGCTTCCCCCCACCCTCTGCATTTCTGTTCACAAGACCTGAGCAGGGTCTCAAGGACAGGTCATTTAGCAGGCCTTCTTTTGTATCTAAGTGGCTTTGCTTGGTTACAGTTTTACCAACAACTCATTGTTCTGGGTTCACAGTGATGATGATGATGGCAGTGGAGAAAATATTGGGATAGGTGAACTCAAGGGCTTAGGAAGGTTCAAAATCAAACAATCCTGCCACAGTTCCGCTCTGAACTGAAAGAAACACTGGTCCTCCTCATAGGTTGTCAGGTCTCATGCTGGAACTGTGACTGCCAAGCTGCTTCATTGGCCTTGACACTGGGCAAATGCTTGTAGATGTGGACTCAGGCTGCATTTCTGTGGACAACGTAGGGTAGAGCCTACCACCACCTGTAATCCACTTTGTTTATGCGCTTACAAAGTCTGCTTCAATTTACATCAAGGTATATTTTACATACATGGAACCTGAAAAGATGTCACAAAGAGGAAGGACAAGATCTTGTCTCATTGATTCCAGAGTGCAGGACATGGAATAAGGGACTTAAGTAAGACACTAGGAAGAAGTCCTTCACTGTCAGAGTGGTATTGCAATAGAGGAAGCTGTGGGCTCTCCTTCTTTGGAGACATTCTCTGCACAGCCATCTGAATGGGATGATGTAACTTAGTGGCCTGAGGTAGCAGGGGTTGGAACTGATGGCCTTCTGACCCCTTCAACTCTACTTTTCTGTGATTCTATGATTCTATGAAATCAAATATATACATGGAAGATTTTTTAAAATTGAGCTCTGGGCACTTACCTGATGCCCTCCTCTCCCCAGAAGCTGAGGATGTCAAAGATAACGTGAAGGTCCTTGACAGCAATTCCAGTTTTATTAAAGAAGAATTTAAAATGAATCAAAATCACACATCTGGGGAATTAGAATTGCATGGCTAAAAATAACAAGCATGTAAAATCAACATTGAGGTTAGGCACACTAGGATACAGTGTGTGTGTGTCGGGGGGGGGGGTGGAGAGAGGTGTCAGGAGTTTTAAAGCCAAGGGATCTTGCAGTTTGGAATGGGGCAGAATATTAGGAAAAAAGAAGGAAAGATATGTACAAATAAGAAGTCCACTGCCTGCTCTGTATTACCACTTTACTTTGCACATTATGTACACTTTTTGTTGGACAATAGGATAACATAATCAATAAATATTTGCCTTGTTTATCTTTGATCCATTTGGTCCTTTCTTCATAGTGTGTTTTTTAATTATCCCTTATGATGCTGTAACTTAAATCAAACTGTGCCCTGCTGTTTTCATATGTTATCCAAATATACAAGCAATAGTATTAAGTTCTTATTCTTGCTGTTGGATGCCCTTTCTGACTCTGAACATTTTTTATCTGTTGCTCTGACATTGTTTTCACAGTTTAAAAATAGTTCTGGCTAGTGTTCCTAATGATGGTAACAGTTGGGGGCTTAGGCAAGTTCAGTGTAAAATGCCTAACCTATTAATATCTTTGAGCACAATAAATCTTCAACCCCTTTTAAAAAATTGCTGAAATGTTTTCCGATTTTCACCAGAAAAATGCTAGAACCCCTATCTTAGGGAAAGTATTGACTTGGATTTAAAAGTGCTAGTCTTTCCAAACATAACACTGTAAATGCAACGTGGCTGAGTGGAGAAGTTGAATTACGAAGGGAAAAAAATGGTTCATTTCCCAAAGTTATATTCTTTGCTCATTGTGATCTGGGCATCTTAAATTTGCAAGTTGGTTTAAAGATTTGTGTCCCTGATTGCGGAATGTCATGTAATTTCATCCTTAGAGCCTTCATTTACAAATGTTATTTATTTTGCTGAATTGAAGGAACTTTGAAGGAAACTTCAAGTAACAGGAATTCTTTCTTAAGATGTTGATCACACAATGGTAGACAGAGTCGATTGATTTATTGAGCATTGGATATTGCACATCCAAACCTCTGACCTATAGTGAGGGTTGGGGATATGGGAAGGAATTGTATGGGGTAATTTGAGTGTAATTATCCAATCATTTATTTATTTATTTCTGATTTATATCCTGCCTTTTTCCTACAAAGGCTCAAGGCAGCTTACATCTCCTCCTCCATCTTATCCCCACAACAACAACCCTGTGAGGTAGGCTGGGCTGAGAGTCTGTGACTGGCCCAAAGTTATCCCAGTTGACTCCATCGTCTGAGTTTCAGTCCCCTGCTCTTTACCACTACACCACATTATTTATGGGGATAAATGTCATGTGTACCCTGCTTCTAGTTTGCAGAAACAACCTATGAATATTCCATTCATAAGTTATTAGTATAAATTCTGAATCTTGATACATCTGATTCTTCGTGTGTTGAACAACACATAGTTAACTTAAGAAAAGGTCACGGTTTAAACTCTGGATTGTTTAAGCTACAAATATCTTTAAGTGTTCAATCCCATATCTTCACATAATCCAGAAAAATCTGATTATTCATATTGCTAAATATACATTATGGTTATGCTTACTGCACCATGGGGATTCCTCATAAAAAAAATCAAAATCAAATTAAATAAATGTATGTGTAAATGAGGCCAATGACTCACAAATTCATTTCTGAACTATTTCTACTGAAAAGGAATGTTAAGCCATTTTTTTAAAAGTTATGTTTTGCAGACCTATAAGCTGGAAAATACACGTTATAAAAGGGTAAAATTTTGGCAGACCAGGCTGACAGCCTGTTCCCAAGCTTTTACTGTTTTGACTTGCAAATAAGTTGCTAACAGCACAGTACTGTTCATTGACTTCAGTAGGACATACCCCTGGATAAGTGTTTATAGAACTGTGGCTTAAAAACAAGCTGATGAGGCCTGTGGGCACTGAAGTCTAAATAATCTGGAAGGCAGTAGGTTCAGGAAGTTTGAACCATGGTTTGTTGGGCTGGGAACAAGGGAAGTCCCCACATACTCCCTTCCCATTAACCCCCGCCAGGAAACTTGGTTTTGACACTGAGATCATAGCTTGTTTAAACCACAGTGTCCTGTTTCATTAGAACTGGGAAAGTATAGATTCTTCCTACTTTCTAACCAGAATTATGCAAAAATCAACATTTCTGTTGTGGTCTTGCCTATGGCCTCCATGGAATGCTTCAATGCCCTCCTAAAACCTAAGATGACATGTGTATTTTGAATATTTTTTCTTGAAATAGCTTTTCAAATGATCAGATGTTGGTATTCAGGTTCACCTATATATATATGAAAGCTGAAATTAGCTTGCTGACCACAGAATCCTTAGGTATCTGGATCTGGAAACATCATCTTTTCTGCGCCTGAAGGACTACTATTGGCTTTGGGAGTAGAGCATAGTGGGGTATCATCTTTCCTTTTTCTTTCACTACTTCTTCCTCTTCTCTCTAACATACTGACTGATATTCTTACAGTACCTATTTTGTTCTGTGGTCATTCTGACTGCCAGTTCTCTCCCAGAGCAATCCTGCTACAGAAGGCTGAAAAAAAGAGGGAGACCAGGTCTTGCTACTGTTTGATCTATTCCTGCATGGCTAAATCTTGTTCTATTGTTTTCTATTGCGAAGCTCTATGATTTTTTTAAGCTGTGGGGGAAAATGAGTGTTTGTGTTTTTCCTCCCTCAACCTCTTAGGATGCAGAATAGAGAACTGCGATTCTTGCTTTAGTCGAGACTTTTGCACCAAGTGCAAACCTGGATTTTATCTCTACCGAGGTCGTTGCTTTGGAGAATGCCCGGATGGCTTCGCGCCTTTAGAAGAAATGATGGAATGTGTGGGTGAGTTCTTTTATACATTATTATCCTCTGCCAAAACCCTTTGTGCTTGCTTCTTCCATCCTGAGGTTGCAGATGCCTTCCGAAGTTGTTCTCTGCTTTGCCTGATCAGATTGTCCAATGTATTTCAATATATTTGAACTTCCATGGACTGTCCTTGATGAATCAATGTCCCTGTTTTTCCTCTGGGGATAGATGATTGGGATGAACTTAAAGGAATACTACCAGTTTTAACCACAATACCTTTAAGTGCAACACTCTTAAATATACGAGTAGAAAAAAGGATGAATTTTGACTCCACTGCATATGTGCCAAAAGACAGGAGCATGCTTCAAAATGCCAAAGTGCATCATTCCATCCAACCCACTTTTCCTCATTTGAAAAGTAGAGTCGCACTTCAACCGTTCACTATCGTTCCATTTGCTCCATCATGTTTGTCTCCCCATGCAGCCCATTTCACAAGTAAGGATATAAATTGGGATGGGGTAGCTCAGGCAGTAAAAATCAGAGTCTTAGACTAACAAAATGTATCCCCCCCCCCAGTTCATAAAATGCTAGGGAGGGTGAATCTGAGTTTTATTTTTTAAATACAAAAATACTTTTTTTAATACAAAAAAATCCACCCTTATTTTCCTAATGGTCTAAACCTATCTGGATGTCAAGTTCACACATTACATCACTGTGAAAAAACGTTGGGCAGTGTTTGGTGCATCAACTAGATGGAAATGGCTAATGTGCTATAATAAAGTTAGAGCAGTGCAATTAATCTTCTTACTGTTAATCAATCTTGAATAATGGCTCCCAGGGACATTTCTGTTTCTGAAACCTGATGGCTTTTCTCCAAGCAATTCATAAGGATACTCCAAAGCACTCCTGTGCTTCATTACTTTCATTTTCTTTGAAACTTAAAAAAATAAAATAAAACCCCCTGAGCTGCCATGAAATCATCTTCTTCCTTTAAAAATAACATTCAAACTGATATGGTATGGTGGACTGGGGACTCATGACTGTAAGCCAGGCTGAAACTTAATACTAAACAGAACTGAGATGTAATTGCCCCATTTCGTTTTTTCTGTGCTTAAATCTGGGATCCAACAGTTGTGGTGTATAAAGTAGGATATATCACAGTGCATTACCCTGCATGCAAGATTGCCCTCTTTTACTACTACTTTTTCTTGTAATCACAAATGAAAGGCTTTTGCTCATTTTCGGACAGCTCCTCCAATGCCCTCAAAACCACTTCCATGCTGAGCAGCTCCTTTAAATGGGTCTTCCAAATTTTACTAGGAAGTCATGATGATCTCACATGATGAAGTTGGAGCTGGAATGGGGAACCTCAGCTCCAGGGAGGTATATTTGGCCCCCAGGGCTCCTCTGATAGGTTTCTTTTCTATTCTCCAAGACACCCAGACACTGAGCTTAGGGTGGTTTTCAAGACTGTGTGTGTTCTCAAAGGACAAAGTACCTCTTCCAAGGCTCAGCTACTAGTAGGAAGAGCTTTAAGCTACACCATGCAGGATTTTTTGGCCCTACCACTCTTCCCTTCATCCCTTCCCACCACTGGAATGTGCTGATGGAGAGGTCCTCTAAAATAGGTTCTCTACTCTGTATCTGAGTCATATTGCATTGTGAAAAGATCCATATTAGGGCAATGCCTTTATTTGGCACACCCAAAAGTCACAAAAAAGTGGCAATACCTTTTTAGAGTGCCTCTCCCAGCTGCGATCTACTCAGACAATATGCTCAACCTCTGGAGCCTTCTTCCAGCTGCCAACTCTGAGGACAGTGAGGAAAGTCACAACAAGGGAGAGGGCTTTCTTGGTGGTAGCTCCCCACTGTGGCCCAGCTGGTGCTTCAGAACCAGGTTAAGATGGCCCTCTTCTCTGAGGTTTTTAAAGATTTGCTCAGCCATACAAGAGCTTGAGGGGGATCACCAGATGTTTCTGAGTCACTCTTTTGTTATTCCTTGTTATTGTCTGTTTTACCATTTATTTTTAGCAATTTAAAATTTTTGATGTCTTTTTCTGATTTTATGATATTTTATTGTATTTTATTGTTTCTTTTAATGAAATGGTTAAACTGTTCAGAGAGCTTCAACAGTGAGGAAGTATAGAAATGAAATTATTATTATTATTATTATTATTATTATTATTATTATTATTATAACATTTCTATGCCGCCCCTTGCCGAAACCTCGGGGCGGCTTAGAACATGATAAAATACATTGAAATACAATAGTACATAATAAATTACCATTAAATATAAAAATACAAAAAATACATTGATTTACTACTAATAATAAGTGGAGGATGATGACAACGATGAGTATTCCAGGATCCTTTTGCATGCCAACCATCCGCTGTACCCATGAGGTCTCTTCAAAGGACTTGGAAGCAACTGCCTTCATCCAGACTTGGTGCACGGCTCCACCATTGGTGGAGCCATCTTTCTGGTGACTTCTGTGGCATGATCTGACCAAGGGGCTTGGTCTGGCTGCAATCAATGTGTGATTCCCTTGGTATTCCAGGCCTGCATGAAGAGAGTGCATAGTTCTGAGGTCTCAGGAAAGCTGTCTCAATGTGTGCATACCACCTTTCATTCTAACCCTTATTGGCCATTCCGTAGGAGAGGGAATTACAGGTACTTTATTTGTCTGAAGAACCCTGGAATTGGCTCCTTCCGTGTTCAGGTGTGGTTTACTGCAGAAGCCTCAGAAGACATGGTGGTGTCCATGGCTTATATGACTTTTAAAAATAGGATTAGAGCTTCCTGTAGAAGACAAGTTTGTTCAATGTTGGTTATCATCCCTAAAATCAAGCTGTCCCCACCCCATGTTTAGAATTATTATTCCTCCTAATACCAATGGCAGGAGGGAAGGAGAAAGATGGGGATGGCTATTGTTGGATTAAATGGACCCTTTGATCCAGCAGGACTCCTGTATCCCCATGTCCTATGTCAAGGATAAGCATCTTCCATATGTTTTGGACTACAACTCCAACAATCCCCACTCATGCTGGCTGTTGCTTTTGGAAGTTGCAGTCCAAAACATCTAGAAATCACTAGGTTGCATGCCATTTTCCTCAACCTATGATTGCCTAACCACAAAATAGTGAAAAGCCCTGGGAATGCCATGATATAATATTAATTAATTTCTATACCACCCAATAGCTGAAGCTGTGAACTGGCACATCACCTCAAAGCAACTTGTTTTGAAAAGAGCAGGTGTGAAAATAACAATGAAAGGGAAGAATGGGAGTATCCACAGCAGAGTGGATAACTTACTGCCCTCTGACATATTTGAGGATTTATTTCTTTTTCATTGAGTGTTGGTGGGCATAAGTTTGGTTAACCTGTGTAAATTTCCTTAAGGCTAATGAAGTTCACCTTTTACTGAATAATAAAATCTACTGCTTTTGGTGTCTGACTTTCCAGGGACATATATTTTGAAAGAATAACCTGCAGGCATGAAAACATAAAGGATGCTAACTAGTTCCATTTGTGTATGTATGTTTGTTGGTTTTCCCAGAAGGCTGTGAAGTGGGCCCATGGAGTGAGTGGGGAATTTGCAGCAGAAATAACAAAACATGTGGATTTAAGTGGGGTTTGGAAACGAGAACAAGGCAAATTGTGAAAAAGCCAGCAAAGGACACAATACCATGCCCAACCATTGCAGAGTCCAGAAGATGTAAAATGGCCCTGAGACACTGTCCAGGAGGTAAGCACACAAAATGACAAAATAATCTTTATGAGCTCTTTTGCTCACTCAAGTTATGCTTGGTTAAGAGATATAGAACACTATGTCTTTCTTTCTAAAACTCAGAGAAACCAACTGTCACACCATTGAGTTCTGTTCACCAGTAAAAGCTGAAGTACGGTTTGTATCTATGTGTAATGTACAGAGCAAATTTATGAGCTACTGGAATATAGTGTGTAGAACTTCATTTATCATAACTTCAGAGTCAGCTCTTAAATCAGATGTACAGTCAGGAGTATATCCCACTGAGTTTAACAGAAACTACTTCCAGGCAAGTGTTTGTAGGTAGAAGTGGCTTTGTAATACACACGTGTAGTCGGAACACCAGGTTACCTGGGTTGTGAAGCTACTCACTTGTTCTTTAGTTGGGTTTAGTGGTTAGGTTTAGATTGTACCTGCTTTTTGGTATCTTCTATGGAAACATGGAATTAATTTCAATTTGGCTGTATTTCATTCTGCTTTCACAAAAAGCAAGCTCCTGATATTGTATATCCTCTGTTTATCTTGTTAACTAGAGAAAATACAAGTAATATTTAGTGACTTTGAGAACTCTAATGTCCATAAATATCTGTTTAAAAAGCAAAGGATAAAATCACCCTCCCTAATATTCTCAGTCTGTATATTCACAGAAACATGTGGAATAACTATTAGATTATATAATCAAAGACAGTCACAGATTGTGATGGATTAAACTGAGAACAGGATGCAAGGATATTTTTGGTGGGACAGGGTCAAGCATGTGTGCTTTGGACATATGCTTTCTATTTCTGTTCATTTCGTTTACATTGCAGTGTACTCTTTATGTGGTCTGCCATAACACACTTGAAGCCACTTTTGCAGATCCACGTGGGAGTAATGGGCATACTATTGTGCATTTACACCCATGCTTAACTGAGGATTGGGATGTTATTCATATGTCCATGCGGCTTTTCCCAAGCTATCAATTATAGTACCTCTTTCTCTTTTATGCAGGCTAACACAGCTGCGAGTGCAAAATGACTCCATGTTGTCATTTGTTCTTTCCTTTGGTAATGTTGAGTGCAGCATCATACTGTAATGCAGTGGTCAATTATTGGATTTTCTGGTGGGCCATCCTGAGGAGCCCCAGCAAAGGCAGTGAACCATCTCACTGTCACTTGCAAGCAAGGTCATTTACATCCCCTGCTTCCATCAGCTTCTTTTCCCATGCACTGGTTTGACCTTCTTCTGCTAGAAATGTGAGTCCGTTCTAACCACAGAGAGGGGAAATGATGGTGCCTCCAGCACTTCTGCCTAGCATGGCTCCATGCTGCTAGTTTTTCCTTTACCCGTGGCAGAAATGGTGGGACCAAAGTAGATGTATTAGTGAACAACAGCTGGAAGGAGAAGAAAAAGGAGACAGAAATAGCTGGTGAAAATGGGTGGGGCATCAAAGGCCTGGATTTGACCCAGGGGCTGGCTGTTTGTTGCTGAGTCTTCTGTAAAGAGTTAGGCTGTCTTCACTGGCATTTCCCTATTGTGGGAATACTGGTCTGTTCTTCGTAGTGTTATTTGATAATTTTTTTGTGTAACTTGACCTTTAGGATCAAGAGGACTAGATTTAGATGAAAGGATTTGTCCTGTTTTACATATTTTCCCTTAAATGCTGCACAAAAAATTGTACCAACTTTTGTGTGCATCTCCCATTTTCCCTAATAAAGTGTGCCTTTGTTCATTATTCACACTATTTGTGTGTTTGATGAGAGAACGTCATTGCAAAACTCCAAAAAGTGCAAAGACATACTGAAGTATAACCACATTCTGGTTCAAATTTGGGAAGTATGAGTTTAAGGCAGGCCAAATTAATTTCTCCCTCATCCATATTTAGATGGTAGCATTGCCAACTGTCTGTCTCCTATCCTGACAGAAAGCCGCTCTCCAAACTTTCATACAGAGGCTTCTCAAACCTTATTGTAGCTGGTAATGTAAAGTAATTCTCTACAATGCATTTAGCACAGTGCTCCTCCTCCTAACAATTTCCATCAATAGAACAGTGGCCAATTTTTCCAAGGCAAACATATTTTAAAGTAAGTTGTTCTGTTTGTTATCCCACCTGTGCCTACCATACCCTTTAAATTTTAGCTATAATTACTATATCATATTTTCCCCATTATTCATACCATTCATTATTCATGCTGTCCCCTTGGTTTTGGTATAAGTTACCCCTTTCCTTCATTGTAGTTTCCAGCTTTTATATTTCTAGGCTGTCCTTGTGTCCTCTTTTTAATCATGGTGGTGCCAAGCCATGCTTATTTATTACTATTCACTCTTTCATCTGCAATCAGCTCCTTAACCTCTACAAGCAACTTTTCCTGCTCTTCTAGGGACACTTTCATATCCCTGTAAGAGTCATTATGCTCGTATACATGATTGCCAAAGGATGGGAATAGAAGGGCAGAGAATACATATTGGCAGCACATTCCTGGGGAGGTGATGAAGAGACGTTGTACTGAGCTATAAAGAGATCTTTCCTGTACAGCATTTGGTGCCTGCCCTCTCCGGCATGACCTTTGAGTTTCTGGTGCTGAAATCACGTAGCGTTCAGCTCCTTCATTCTCTTACAGTGACCATACTAGTACCCCTTAGTTGGAATGTTATCATTAGTCTAGGAGTGCATTTTAGTAGTGGGAACACTCCTGGACATTCAGTGACCTCTTTGCTCTGGATGCAAGATGCAGTCAGTTGGTTTGGTTTTGTTTTTTGGTCAACAGCTGCAGGGCTTTTTTTGTCATAGAACGCACCAGAACAGCGTTCCGGCACCTTTTTTTCCAATGGATTTTACGAAGTATTTTGAAGTATTTTGAATCGTAGCAGATCAGCAGCAAACATCATTAACATAGCGCCTGCAGGCTGCTTTTGTGTCTGCTATCTGCTATCTGATAGTGATTGGTGTGTGTGGTTGCACGCTTACTGCTGGCGATGTGAGTTCCGGCACCTTTTTTTTATTTTACAAAACACTGAACAGCTGTATTCCTCACCATGATTTAATTAATTTAATTTAATTTAATTTAATTTAATTTAATTTAATGATTGTAAGCCGCCCTGAGGCTCATGCGACGGGGCGGCATATAAGTTGTCTAAATGAATGAATGAATGAATGAATGAATGAATGATCAGGATGCCACCCTAAGCTACAACTGAAAGAGATATAAAGAAATTGGCCAGATAAAACACATATGGGAAAAGCTGTAGTCTTCCAAACTATTGATAATGTGGCTTTAAAAATGTTCTTTCTTATACATGTTGGACTAGTACACCAAAAAGCAAAGAAAAACAGTATGATCCTAATGAATAAAATAGAAATAATAAATAAAATACTACTAGGGGATGTTTTAAAAATGTGTACCTTTGTCACGTATCAGATAACTTAGAGGAACTATTAAGTGTTGATAAAATGAAAAGGAACATGGTATTGCATAAATGTTTCTTTCAACAACTTCAAACCTTTCCAAACAGTTTTGGATACAATCCAAAATCAGATTTTTCTTGCGAAGAAAACACTTTAACAGGATTAATAGGCTAGCCTTAGCTCTTGTTGCTGTGAGAAATCTTAACTTCTTCACTTTGAGGTTATCTCAGAACTTTGTTTTGCCAACAGATGATTATATGTGACCTGGACTGAAGTCTTACAGTTTGCCAGCGAAAGCATCAGCTTAAATACCTTTGTATGGTATCTTAAGAACAGCCATCTGTTTCCAACAATGTCTTGGTTATGTAATTCTTCTATTTTCAACATTTTTGCAGTACCAGTTTTAGGAAGGTCCCATATATGGGGTCGTTCTCTGGGTTCCCTTTGCCCAAGGTAGATACCTTTCTGAACAACAGCTGGATCGTGTATTTTCAAAAGTAGGAGAACAAACCTATCCACCTTTCTTATTCCTGGCATCCCTAAAGACAGCTTGCCTCCCCAGAAGGAACTATAACATTACCCAGTAAAGCCTCATGGAATGCCTGCAGTCCCTTCCCACCCCATTCTGTCTTAAGATTGTGACCATGCCAACATGACTGCAGATCAACTCCCCCCTCCCCCCGCTACCTTCCTTCCCACTTTTTGTGATGCCTTGTCTGACAAAGACATCTCAAGATCTTGAAATCCAGTATATTTTTGTTAGCTTTTGCTTGGCCTAAAGATATTATGGTAAGTTAGCTCAAAACTCTAAATTCAAAATCAAATATGGATCATGGATTTTTTTATGGCCAACATCGATACCTCTTCCTGTCTTTGTTAAATTCTTCATTAGCTGTCTTCTCAGAGTCAAGGCAGTCTACTCTGGCAAAACTCATCCACCAAAAGAAAACATTGGCACAGCATCCGTGAGAACTGTCCAGCTGAATCAAAGGCCAAATGGAAGAGTTTGTACCACCTCCAGAAGATCCTCACTTTGCAAGGAATTGGAAATTGAACCAGGACCTGAGAAGAAAATTGAAGCTGGCATCGGGCACAATGTAAGCCACTCATTCTTTGAGATGTGCGGAGCAAGGCTGGGAAAGTCTTCTTAAGAAAACTTCATAGCTTTATAATAAGCCATTGGCTACCTGTGTAGCCGAAACAAAAACCATCATCCAGTATCTGTAAGAAAATACACAGTAACATTTGAACTACCTGAATCTTTTCAGTTGTTTTCAAGGGCAGGCCCACTAGAACGCAATACAATAGACAAGTCAGAAGGTTATGAAAGTAATCATAAGATAATATTCTTATTTGAAGTCCCTACTAGCATCACTTCTCATATGCCTGGATTCAACTTCAGTTTGTGAACAGGCATCACAGCATCCAGCACGGATTTGGAACAAGGATAGGCAGGTAATAAAATATACAGCTGAGTGTCAATGGTGTACCTATGATGCTTCATGCTGAAATGGTGGATGAGCTTCATGCATACGATAAACAATACAGACATCAGTACTGATCCCTGAAGAACTCCATAGTCCAGTTTTTAGGG